GGTCACTCCCGATAACATGTCCAAAGTACGTGAGATGAAGTCTCGACATCCTAGCTTGTAAGGAGTAGCCTGGCTGTACTTCTTCCGAGACAGATCTGTTTGTTCTTCTGGCAGTCTGTGGTATATTCAATATTCGTCGTCAACACTGTGATTCAAAGGCATCAATTTTTTCTTAAACACCATGACCTGGTGCAGGAGAACCTTAGTCCTCAGAGTGACATCTCTGCTTTTTAATACTTGAAAGAGGTCTTTTGCAGCAGATTTGTCCAATGCAATACATCATTTGATTTCTTGACTGCTGCTTCCTTGGGTGTTGATTGTGAATTCAAGCAAAATGAATCCTTGAAGTCAATCTTTTCTCTGTTTATCATGATGTTGTTTATTGGTCCAGTTGTGAGGATTTTTGTTTTCTTTATGTTGAGGTGTATTCCATACTGAAGGCTGTAGTCTTTGATCTTCATCAGTAAGTGCTTCAGGTCCTCTTCAATTTCAGCAAGCAAGGTTGTGTCATTTGCATGATGCAGGTTGTTAATGAGTCTTCCTCCAATCCTGATGCCCCCTTCTTCCTTTAGCCCAGCTTCTCAGATTATTTGCTCAGCATGCAGATTGAATAGGTATGGTGAAAGGATACAACCCTGACCCACACTTTTCCTGATTTTAATCCACAAAATAACCCCATGTTCTGTTCGAATGACTGCCTCTTGGTCTATGTGCAGGTTTGGCATAAGCACAATTAAGTGTTCTGGAATTCCCATTCTTCATAATGTTATCCATAATTTGTTATAATCCACACAGTCAAATACCTTTGCATAGTCAATAAAACACAGGTAAACATCTTTCTGGTATTCTTTGCTTTCAGCAAGGAACCATCTAACATCAGCAGTGATATCCCTTGTTCCACGTCCTCTTTTGAATCTGGTTTGAATTTCTGGCAGTTCCCTGTTGATGTACTGCTTCTGAATTATCTTCAGCAACAATGAATGTTAACAGCTGTTTCTTTTCATTTTGAGTCGTGCCACATCAGCAAATGAAGGTCCCAAAAGCTTTACTCCATCCCTGTCATTAAGGTCGACTCTACTTTAAGGGGGCAAGCTCTTCTCTAGTCATGCCTTCCAACCTGTGGGCCTCATCTTCCAGCACTATATGAGACATAATTTGATTATATGATTTGTTTCAACCTTTTGGCTATTACGAATAATGCTGCAATGAACATTGGTTTACAAATACCTGTTTGAGTCCCTTCTTTTATTAGGGGAGCCCTGGTGGCAATGGTTAAGAGCTATGGCTGCTAACCAGAAGGTCTGCAGTTCGAATCCACCAGCCATTCCTTGGAAACCCTATGAGGCAGTTCTACTCTGTCCTATAGTGTCTCTATGAGTCTGAATAGACTTAAAAGCAATGAGTTTGGTTTTTAGTTTGGTTTTATATACCTAGGAGTGGAATTCCTTGGTCATAAGGTAGTTCTATGTTTAATTTTTTGAGGTTCTGCAAAACTGTTTTCCATAGTGGTTACACCATTTTACAATCCCACCAACAGTACATGAGGGTTCCAATTTCTCCACATCCTTGTCAACACTTGTTATTTTCTGTTTTTTTATGATAACAGCCATTCTAGTAGATGTGAAGTGATATCTCATTATGGTTTTGATTTGCATTTCCCTAATGACTAATATCACCATCCGTCAGTCTGCTGTATAGTTGTGGCTAGTGTGTTGCTTTGATGCTAAAAGCTATGCCACCAGTATTTTCAATACTATCAGGGTCACCTATGGTGGACAGGTTTCAGTGGAACTTTCAGACTAAGATAGAGTAGTGAAAAAGGTTTGGCAATATACTTTCAAAAATAAGCCAATGAAAACCTTACTGATCACAAAAGAACACTATCCAACTCTCTTGCTTTGGACACATTATCGGGAGGGATCAATTGCTAGAAGAGGACATCATGTTTGGTGAAGTCGAGGGCCAATGAGGGCAAGGGAGACCCTCGGTGAGATGGATTTACACAATAGCCTCAATGAGGGAATGAACATACTGGTGGTTGTGAGGATAATGCAGGACTAGACAACATTTCATTCTGTTGTACGTCAGGTGGCCATGAGTCGGAATCCATTTGACAACAGATAAATCAGAAACAACAACAATAACTATGACCTTGAGCATCTTTTCATGTGTTAATTGGCCAGTTGTATATTTTTTTGTGAAACGTCTATTCAAGTCCTTTGCATATTTTTTAATTGGGTTTTTGTCATTATGTTGTTGAGTTGTAGGGGTTTTCTATATATTTTGAATATTAAGTCCTTATCAGATATATGGTTCCTATTTATTTTCTCTCAATCTGTAGATTGTCTTTTTACATTGTTGATAAAGTCCTTTGATGAACAAAAGTTTTTAAATTTTGATAAAGTCCCATTTATCTATTTTATCTTCTGCTGCTCATATTTTTGGTGTCATATCCATAAATCCGTTGTTGAAAACGGGAAGCATTACTCCTACATTTGTTCTAAGAGTTTTATGATTTTAATTCTTCCATTTAGACCTTTGATCCATTTTGAGTTAATTTTCATATGTGGTGTGAGGTATGGTTACAACTTCATTCTTTTCATATGGCGATCCAGTTTGTCCCAGCATCATTTGTTGAAAAGACTATAGTTTCTCCATTGGATGGACTTAGCACGTTTGTCAAAATCAATTGGCCATAGGCAATGGGTTTATTTCCAGACTCTCAATTCTATTGGATTGCTCTATGTGCCTACTATTATACCACTACCAGTCCATTTTGATTACTGTAGCTTTATAGTATGTTTTTGAAATTAAGTAGTATGAGTTCTCATACTTTGTTCTTCTTTGTCAAGATTTCTTTGACTATTCAGGGTCCCTTGCAATTCCATATAAAATTGAGCATTGAGTTTTCCATTTATGCAAGAAGGTCGTTGGAATTTTGATAGAGATTGCATTGAATCTACAGATTCCTTTGGATAGTATTGACATCTTAAGACTTATTAAATCTTCAAATCCATGAACATGGAAGGTCTTTCCATTTATTTAGATTTTGTTTAATTTCCTTCAACAGTGTTTTATAGTTGTCAGTGTGCAAGATGTTCACCTCTCTGGTTAAATTTATTTTTTATTGTTTACATTTTTTTATTAGCATAGTAATAAAACTTCTATAATTACTGATTATGTTAAATATTACACCATGCATCTTTGACTTACTAAATCTAATATTGGTAATTTTACTTTTTTTTTGAGTCATGCAAAGATATTCAAACACTTTTATTTCATTTACTCATCTCTTGAATTGTTTGCTATTTTTTGTCATAGATTTAATTATCTATATATTTACAATTGATAATACTTTATTTAAATGTTTTCTACACACAATTTTAATTTTCAGCATATTTGCCCTTGCTATTGTTTTTCACTGCTTTCTGACTCTGAACTTTTATATGGGATAATTTTCTTCCTGCTTGAAGAATAGTCTTTCATATTTCCTTTAGTGCAGGTCTCCTGATGATAATTTCTCTCAGTTTTTGTTTATCTCAAAATGTTTTTATTTCACTTTATTATTGAACAATATTTTCAATGCATATGGAATTCTAGTTTGATAGTTATTTTTACTTTAGTATTCTGAAGATATTATTCCATTTTCTCATGGCTTTCATTGTTTAATAGTCAAGTGTTAAGCTAGTTGTTGCAGTTCCTTAGTGGTGCAAAAGTTTAGGGTGCTTGACTGCTAACTAAAAAGTTGGAGATTCGAGTTCACCAGGGTGCCTTGGAAAAAAGTGCTGGTGATATACTTCCAAAAAAATCAATCATTGGAAACTTTATATAGTTCTACTCTGACACACATGAGTCGACATGAGTCGAAGCTGACTTGACGACGATTGGAATTAGAAGCTAGCTGTTGCTCCTTTGAAAATAATCAGAATTTTTAAATTTGTCTACCTTAAAGATGTTCTCTTTGTCTTTCATTTTTAGCATTTTGAATCTGATGTGTGTAGGCGTGTGTTTTTAATTTTTTTTTCCCTGCTTGAGGCTCATAGGGCTTCTTAAGTCTATGGCTTAATGTTTTTCATCACTTTTGTTAAATTATGACTTATTATCTATTCAAATATTTCTTCTGCCACATTCTTTAGATCTTTTTTCATGGGTTTGAGTTATATGTTTCACCTTCTCATATGTCTCTTACTCTCTCATCTATATTTTTAATCACTTTGTGTCTTCGGATTTCATTTAGTATTTTTTCTTTCTCTATCTTCCAATTCACTAATTCTTTCTTCATCTGTGTCTAATTTGTTTTTAAACACACTAATTGAATATTCAACTTCAGTTACTGTATTCTTCAATTGTAAATTTTCATCTTGTTTCTTTTTTATCATTTCAAATTCTCTGCAGAAATTCTCAGTATTTTCTTATATCACATAAGCATAATAAGCATATTTATTTTAAGGTCTTAATCTGAAAACTCCATTATCCTGAGCGCCATGGGTTTGTGTCTATTATCTATTGTTTCTTTTGATTTTCACCATTTTTTTCCCTCTTTTGTCTGGTTGTTTTTGATTGAGTGCTAGATGTTGTATATGAAAAATTATGCAATTAATTTTATGCCTTATTATCTCTTTTCAGAGAGGAATTATTTTTGCATTTGGCAGGCAGTTTGGGAAAGCAATAATTTTCAAACACCTAAATGCAATTTCAGAGACTTAGATGATTCAAAGCTGAGTTCCTGGGTCTGGGATTGCCAATCTACTATTACTTCTAGGATGTAGGGACTCAATTCAATCTTATTTACACAAAATAATAGCAATTTTATCATTAAGATGTAATTTTGATCAAAATAGTATTTAATTTTCTTTTGTTAGTACAATATGTACCAATTTATTTAAGGAATTTAAGAAAAAGACTTAATATTTGCATAATATTAAAGTGAAAGAGAAAATTTTTTGGTAAAAATAGTTTGCGTTGTCTATGTTAAGGAAAATAATTTCCAATAAAAATGCATTATACATAATTTTTGTAATAATGAATTTATGAAAAAAAGTCTGTTAATGTATCCAAAGCTTTCATCAGAATCTCTGATGGGGCATTGGCTCATAAAAGTTTAATAATTATTTATCTAGATTAATTTCAACTTCTAAACACCCCAACTCCACTGCCCCAACCATCTGATAAGGGCTAAGGAAAAACAAAATTATTTAGGGTTACAAAAATGAGCTATTTCACTTACAGTAATGGTGAACTAACTTGTTGCAGATCAATCCTCAAACTAAGAACAACTACCATGACAAAGCTGATTTCAAACTGTTATGGTGCTATCAAGACACCAAGCAGTAGAGGAACATAAGGGTTGAGATGTACCAGTGTGGATTTATGAACAATGATCAGCTAGATTTCCTTCCCTCAATTTCTTGATGTTAGTTATATCCCAGAATCTTAATATAATCCCAAGGATAGAGGATAGTTCCAAGAATGACTGACAGTAAATTTCCCATCAGTCCAGTGGTAATAAGAAATAATAATAATAGATAATAAAGAATTGCTACATGTCTTGTACATTTGAGGCTATAGACTGATAATACACACATTTGTGTGGATTTAGTGTGAGTCTAAATATCTTTTATGAGTAGTACTTGCCACCAACTATTGACTTAAGTATCTTTATCTAAATTCCTAAACAACAGAATCAAAATGAATCTACTTTATCCAGTTATGGATACTAACTTTCCTAAGAGCAATCTAATGATGTTTTCTTGGAAAGGAATTTGAGATGATTCAATTTGCTGATTTATCTCCCATGTCTCCTTTAAAAGTGGTCAAGCCAAAATAGAAAAAAATCACTTTGATTCTTTCCAACAGTATGTGCTTTACATTTTCAGTGTGTATTCAAGTTATGTCCAACTGCATTTACCACCGTCCTTTTTTTTTTTTGTATATCTTATGGTTAGTAATATGTACTACGTATAATGTGGCAGCGAGTAATTTGCTGATGTTATCATTCTCAGATGTAATGTTTCCAACCCCCAAAGACAAATAAAGATCAGATTTATAAAGACACTTATAATAAAGGGCAATAATAATGAAAACTAAAAAAAAAAAAAAAAAAAAATTAAGACTTTGACTTAGGTCAGGACCGATTTATGACAGAGTAGTCTTCGGAACGGAAACCCATTGTAAGTTGGGCTCTACCTATATTCTAGACTACTCACTTGCAAATGTGGTGATGTTTGTGATGCTATAAGACAGAAAGGTTCTACATTTTAGAGACCGTATGTTAGGAAGGATCCCCAAGCATGGAATTCAGGAAGTCTGCCTCTGATATACCACTTCAGGTTCCCCCTTTCATAATCAGGAAGATTATAAAATATTACTGACCTTCACCCAATATTGGCCTTGATACAACCATCTTTGCAAATAGATTTCAGAATCTTCTGTTTTGAAATCACATTCCTGGAAAATATCTGTGTGTTTTTATGTTATTTAGTAGCTAAGCCATACTCATTCAATTAGACATTTGTTCACTTGCAAGGACACTGTTAAATACATGGATTAAGCCATACATAAAATTCAATAAGAAGGTTGGTTAGAGAGCACTTAATTTTATTAAAGTTTACAAGTGTATTTCTTTTAGGGCATATAACATTTTCCATTTTGCTTGGCAGAATAAGTAAGAATCAGAAATTTTATTTTAGGAACTGAACAAATGATGTCAATATTATTGTCACAGTTCTCATTAATAGTTTCTAGTAAGTTTCTCAATTTCCTGCTTTGGCTTTCTTTCCCTATGTCTTTAAATCACCGGAAGCTTTAGTCCAAACCACCACTTCTTCTTTCAAGGTGTACTATATATTGGAAGTCTGTGAGCCTTATCAGAGTATATAGCAGTTTGTTTCTGAGCTCTGCCCTCATTCGAACCAAGTGATATCTCTGTGTAACTTCTTCAGGTAGTGAGAATAGAAAGGCTCCAGAATCTTTTGAACCCAGGGAGCTCACATAATGGTGAGAGAAAGGCAACCTCAAGATAGAGGTAAGCATTCCTTTTCTACCTTTCCAGAGAGGAAGGTAGAAATACATGATGAGATAATAAGAATGATCTAGAGAGAAGAGGTAGACAATGGCCAGAATAAAGGAATAGAGATTGGACCAATATAGTAGAGTCAGGGAGGATTGAAAGAAATAATAATGTCTCAGAGCCAGGAGCTCTTAAAAGTATTAATACAGGGATATAGGAAGTGGGAGACAAAAATGATATTTTGAGAAAGGCAGAGAATCAATGGATGAATGTAATATTTAAGAAGAAAGAATAAGGAAATGGAAATTACGGTTGGCTGAGGATGAGTTTTGCCCAGACTTGTCTTGGACTTCATGGCTACTACCTGGTCATTTATTCTGAGGGAGTTTCTAAGTTCTCTTCTTGCTTTAAGTTTTTGTTTTTTTTTAAATTATTATTTTGGATTATTTGTCTGGCTTCTTCATTGCTCTAAGCTTCTTGGAGACTCTAGCTTCCTGGCCCTCAGGTAACTGCACTTGTTTTGTTGATCTGACAGGGAAAGGAGTTTGGCGGTCCCAAGTGGGATTCTGGTCTGTTGCTGTGATTTCCATCACATTACTCAGTGCCTGTTTCATTGTGAGCTGTTTAGGTAAGCCTTTCACTGAGGTGGCACTTCTCTTGAGTCCTTCCCTTATTACGTTCTATAAAGTTTCCCTGAAAACATATGTTCTCCTTTATCCCATAATATGTCAGCCCTTACTTGGAATGTTATGCCTTTCTTAATTTCTTCTCCTTCTCCACCTCTGTTTCTTCTTTTTTCCTCTACCTTTTGATATTTGACTCTGCTTCTAAGTTTACTTTACATGGTTTTAGTGGCATTTTCCCAACTACAATCATGACCTCACATATGCATGTGAGACACCGTCTTCCAGTACTGGGTTCATTAGTAATGACGTGTTCTCTGGTAACAAAAACCCTCTATTGGGGGTGCAACTACAATTGCTTCTATCATTGTAATACTGTAGATTAGGGTCTTTGATGCCCAGGTGGGAGTCTTTCCCAATATGAGTGGAAAAAAGCATTCAGATGAAATAATAGAGATGTAAGGGAATCAAACGGTTAAGCATTTAGCTGCTAACCAAATATCAGAGTTCGAATCCACCAGCTGCTCCTTGGAAACACTATCGGGCAATTCTACTCTGTCCTATAGGGTTGCTATGATGACTCAACTCCATGGCAACAGGTTTGTTTGCTTTTTGGTTTAAGAAAATAAAATATTTCTTCCCTCTTCCATTTGCCCCCAACTAAGTTTCTCAAGTTTATTTTGTGAGAAGTCTCAAAGAACTTTTTGCTCCCCAATCTACATTTTGATTCTCTATTCACTGATAAGATGACTAAAAATAATTATTTAATAATCCAGGAGGGAGTGAAAGTGGCTTCTTCTGTCAAATGGGCCATGTCAACAGTTCTCTAGGAGAAGTAAATAAATCTCAATCTTTAGTAAAACACAAATAATTATCACCAAAGTTAATCTCTGCTGTACTTTTAATGGTCATGTGCAAGTGAGAAGGGAATTTAAGGATACTTATTTCATTAATTGAGGGAAGCAGATATTCAGGGCCCCAAGGCACAGACTAAGAGAAAGGTAGAAAAGCTTGATAGTATTAAGCTTCAATAGCAGAAGCACAAGAAAGAAATGAGTGAAGAATCAAGTCAGGACCTGAGAGAGAACAGGTCTTGCTCAGTATAGACTCCCAGGAACACAAAAGATAATTTTCATTATGAGACATTTAAAATATCTCTGAATGTTTAAAGCCTCCCTTTGGGTGTTATTTATCCCATATGTGTATCTGTAGTTATCAGCAGTCAGAACTCTTCAGAAAATACAAGCTAACCTGTGAGCTTGCTTCAGGGTTATTAAAGTGAAGAAGTAGCAGACAGCCAGAGAGTCAACAAACGTGTACTGATAAGTCGCTGCTCTTGGTGTTCGAGATTAATCAATGCAGAAAACAGAGTCTTTTCCCTAGAATATTGTTGTTGATAGCTGCTATCGAGTAGTCAGACCTGTAGTGGCTGCACATGAGGTGCATTTGGCTAGGAATCAAACCAGGATCTCCCACGTGGAAGGCGAGAATTCCATCACTGAACAACCAATGACCTCCTTAGAATATGAAGATTAAATTATAGTGGGGAAAGGGCTGAAAATAAACGTGTAGACATATAAACAAACAAATAAGATAAATGAATACGAGCAATCAATAATTCAACATAATCTTTATTGTACTTGCATGGAGAGAGGAAGAGAGTGATGGGGATTGGAGGTAAGTAAGCTTGGGACAGAGATAAGGTTCTATAGTTAAAAAAATTGATAGTAATTCTTCTTCTTCCTTCACAGTAACGTATAATTTTACTTATGGCAAAAGTGACAAAAGGCTGTCTGAACTACACATATCATTCAAGTCTAAACTGCTTCAGTGAAGGGACAAGGGTGACAGGTAAAGTTTTGCAATGCTTTAGCAGACTTTCTCTTTTTTCAGAGAGAGAGATGAGATTGAATTTGAGATTGGTTTATTCTATTCTTTTTCCAATAAAACCTCTGCTTGAATATCTTTCCGATAGCTCCAAACTAAGCTGTAGATTTGCTCCCAAAACTGTATATACATATAATCAAAATATGTCAGTGGATTTATAATGGTTAGCTGTAGATTTGTTTAATCCTGAAATAGTGGCAAACTACTGCTTCAAATGAGAAAGGAGAAAGAACTATTTGTTTAAGACTCTTATGTGCTTGATACTGTATAAACACTAGTAATAGGTAATATTTATTAAGCAGTTATTCTACATTAGCACCTTTTAGGGTGTTCCCCGGTGGCGCAAATGATTAAGCACTTGACTACTAGACAATGGACTGACATTTCAAATCTACCCAGAAGCCCTTTGGAAGACAGGCTTGGCAATTGGCTTTTGAAAGGTCATGACCTTGAAAACCCTATAGAGCAGTTTTACTGTGCACACATGGGTTCGCCAGGAGTCAGAATCAACTCTACTGCAACTAACAACGGTACCGACAACAATAAGCATCTTTTAAAGTGCTTTACACATATTATGTGATTAAATCTTCCTATGTAGTTGGTACTATAATTATTTCCATTACAAAAATGAAAAAACTACAATTCAAGGAGGTATCTAACTTGCTCAAGGGAATTCATAATAAATGGAGGCACCAGACTGCTAATGAGGCATACTTCTAATTCTCACAATCACCATGTGACTAGGTTTTATTTCTGTTTTAAAAACCTAAGGCTCCGTGGAATGTCCAAGATTATTGAGCAGAATTGGGGTTCCAGATTCACCTGTGCCTGTCACTTAAAACTCTGAGAGACTTATGTATAAGGGACATGAAATAACAGGAAAAAGAAACCCTTAATAGTGAATTTTTTGCAAAAAAAAAAAGAAAGAAATTCAGAGGAATTCTTCAGGTAAACCTCAGTAAACATTGATGACTTAATGTTAAAGAACGTTTCTTGGGGGTAATTCTGTGTCCCCAAATTAATATAATTCAGGAAACGGTAAATACGTGAGTTCAGAAACCCACGTCTAGAAAACAGCTGTAAATCCTTCAAGTATTATGTGTACAGAGCACACTTTACTCTTATTTTGCTCATCTTGCATTCAAGCTTCTCTTTCATGCAACACAGAAAAGGTCTGGGGATGTTGCCCAAGTACTTGGATGTCATTTGATTCCAGCTGCTACTTCATTTCTACTGAAAAGAATTCTCAGACTAAGATTTGAGCAGAACTGTGTTGGGATGGGAGGTCATTTGGTGGTGATCAACACAGAAGTGGAGCAGGTACTTTTAAACAAAGAAATTAATGTCAGGGAAACTTGCTGATGTATTAGATAACTCCCTTGGCTAAGAAGTGCCTTCCTTCCCTGGAATATTAGTGTAAAGTCAGAGAATCTCAGGACCATACACAGGAAATGCTCCTTAAACAAGAAAGTTCAATGACTTCAAAATTAATTGCACTTTACCTCAATAAAATTACCTATAGGAAAACAACCTGGAAATATCAAATAGTTAATTTAGTGGCCAGATGGAAACATGAGATTATTTTTAAAGAAATAAACCACTACAGTTAAAATCTAGTGAGCACTCCTTTATGTTTAACTTTCACAAGAAATTTACCACCTCTAAATTTCTAGAGAAGGAGAAGTTAGGGGAGTAGATAAACACATTTGCATTTTGAGAACTGCAGTGGAATTTTGGCAAAGTGGTTAAAAGCTCAGGCTGCTAACCAGAAGGTTGGCAGTTCAAATCCACCAGCCACTCCTTGGAAACCCTATGGTGCAGTTCTACCCTTGTCTTATAGGGTCGCTATGAGTCAGAATCGACTTGACGATACACAACAACAACAGCGCAATTTCACTGAGAATTAATCAGAAATAAAGATGAAACACATCTGAATTTATAAGGCAAAAATGATTGAAAGTACATTTTAAAAGAATTCTGTGCTTTGGTAAAGACAAAAAGGAAATTCAGTCTGAGGTGGGAATTGATGGGTTAGGACGCCCTTCCTCTCTGCAATCCTGTTGGTGTTTTTGGCCTGTACTCCTGGGCAATGTGCCAGCATCTGCCTGTTCCTGGCATCTTGCATTTTCTTTTCTCTTTAGAGTCTATGACTCTTCTTTTTCTTCATGTATAATTTCATTGTCCAGCAGCTGAATAAATCACTTCCTTATTTCCTGGGACTCTCAGATCCACAGGGGAAGAACAATTGGCAATGGATTGACCAGACACCTTACAAGGAAAATCTCCTAGCAAACCATAGGGCCTTGTTTACTTAGAAAATTTAGGGAAATTTTGTTAACAGGGACTATTAACGTTAATATTAATAATTATAATGATGATAATAGGATCTACATCTATTAAGCTCTTACTAAGTGGATGCATTATCTTATTTGCTCCTTACAAAACCTTCTCTTTTTCAGAATCTATTTTTTTTTTTTTT